TCACACCATAAAATTGTTACTTTTAGCTCTAGAATTTTCCGAGAGAGTCAGCGCAGGCACAGACAATACCCATATGCGTGCATTCAGAGGCCACGAAAAAGAATAACTGATTATAAATTTAGTACGAGTGACTAAATTAATAATAGCAAAGAATTGGAAGGCTAAGTGCAGTCTCCAACTAAATGAATGGTATGACATTAATATAGCTATTAATGATAAATTAACATACAAAATTAAAAGTAAGAAAAGGAATGTTAAATGGGATTATGTTTGTAGATATATGGGGAGAATGCATTGACTTTGTATTAACAAAAGGGAAGGGTTGTGTACCTTCTTTTTGGAAGGGCAATGGGGTTCCAGGAAACAAAGGAATGGATTATAGATTGGTCCTGGTGAAGGGAAGCACATTAGGTATATATGTAGATTTTCTTTAGTTTTTTTTCCAAAATATGTATTAAAATTTCAAAATTATATTTAAAACAAAGGAAATAAGTGTCTGCATGCACCCTAGGACACAACGTTGTATAAACCCCTTTTAAGTCATCCAAGGCTTACCTTTAAAACTTCCATATAGATTATGCTATTCACTGCCTTTGTGTTGAATGTAACAGATCCTTTTAGAAGCAGCAAAGGATTTTAAAGATTGTGAAACATTAAAGGTTAATGTTTCACAAGATCTCTGGTTGCCTCTCACCAACCACAACAGTGTATCTACTTAAGAGCAGATGTGTAGACTGGTCATGATCACATGAGCAATGTACATGTGCATCTGCAAAACTGTATAGATCACTGTGTCAAATTACTATGAACTAACAAGGTCCTGGATGTAATCCTGATCAAGCACATAGTTGTGCAACAGGCACTTAGCCAGGAATGCAGTTGGCATCTTGTTAAGTACCACAATTCGTCACTGTGATTTATGCCCATGTAAACTGCCAACAGCATTCTGTCCCATATATTAAAAAGCATGCTAAAGTGAACCAAAGGTTTTTAAAGGCTGAGTTTCCAGTTATATGTGTTTATCAAATCAATTAAGATTTCACCACAGTCTTGCTTAGCTTCTCAGAAAATGAACAGCCATCAAGAGGATTTTAGGACAGACTAAAACATTTGTCTTTGGAGTTTTATTACAAAAATATATTTGCAAACATACAAAATTTTCAATGAAAAATGTTCATTTTTAAACATTTATGCAATAACTTAATATTTGCCAACATAATAAGATGGCACAAATTACATACTCATATACTGAAATGTTAATAATGCATTATGGCAACAGGCTAAAAGTTTCTTAAAAACCACTGGGCATAATTCAGGCCTGCACAGGTGCAGCATCAACAGATGGAGGATTCCTTCAGAAGCAAAACAAATCTATTACCAATGCGCCCAACCTACAGATACACACAGGGAGGCAAATATTGGTCAAGGAGAGCTGGAAAAGAAAATGGGTGGTATCTACAAGAGTTCCATTCCCTACCTACTGGTCCTTTATGCTTCCCATGTGCCCAAGAGACAGGAAAATAGGGCTAACATAGAACTTCTATGAACTACTTAGGGCTGGATATGGCACCTATGGGACAGGATTATGCCCAATGTTTTTCAAAAGCTATCACATAAAATCCCAAAGATTTGAAGCACCTCAAGCTCTCAATGTGCACATGAGTGCAAATTAAAGCAGTAAACCCACGCATTGAGTATAGTGTGCATTTTGAACCACCACATGTTCACAATGTCAAACTGGTACAAAAACAAACCACAAAGGGAATATTATTGCGATTTTTCCTACTTAAAGTGAAGATATTGCATCTTAATATTTTCATAATGATGCCAAAACTGGAGGTGAAATATATATTGCACACATTCCTCTTTTCAAGATATGTTTAAGAAGCAACTCAGTAGCCAATTGGCTAGGTTGTGTTGTTTTTTGTCAGAACACTCTCCGTTAAAATCTTTTTCCTGAAACGTTTCTTAATAATTATACCCTTGCCTACTTTTGGCCTTGGTGGATTCTGGAATGGACTAAACCCAAGGGAAAAAAACAACATCTAGGAAATTCAAAATTTCTTATGTTTGACCTATGATTAAATTCCATCTCAAAACAGGAAATAAATGCAAACTACTTTTCCATTGCTGGATTGTGCCATAGACCTTTGCAAACTATTTAACTTTTGTAAGGTGTGTCACAAATACAAAGCCATTAGGCACATCATTAATATAACATTGTATTGTTAATGCAACAGTAGTTTTACCTTTTACCTAGAATAATCAAGTCTTGAATAAACTGTGTGTTTTATAGCCATTTCTGAGTAGACATATATTAAGTGTGTATGTGTGTGTTAAAAAAAAGGTTGCATACAGGCAACAGAAAAATACATGCTTAATTAGTAAATATTTGCTTTGGAATACAGTCTAAAAATACAGTCTACATTCAGGAAATACAGTATACCATACTAAAACAGAACAAAGCAAAAACCATCAAATGAAATGTCCAAGTTGATTAGTTATGTATCTGTTATAGTCACATGCAGGTAACAAGATTAAGATTATTATAAATCGAAACTTGGAATAAAAATGTTAAGATGACCAGATGAAAATTGTTTAGTGATTTCCACATTTTATAAACATCTGTGATTTTACTTTGCAGCCAGGTTTTTTTAAATCAAAGCAATCTTTAGAAGTTTTTCATTTTTTTGTCACATTACAATAAGCAGTAAGACAACAGATATGCTACACTGAATGATGTTTACAGTGTTTGGATTGTGTGGTAAACTTCTGTTTTCCTTTCACAAGCCCACTACCTACACAACTGTTGTAACATCCATGTGCGTAAAAGTAAAGATTGATACAAAGCTACCATCAAAAATAGAAATTTTCATATCAAATTTCAGCTAATGACATTCTCTTCAAAACCAGAACTGCTTCCTGACATTGTTCATACTTATAATAACTGAGAATTCTGATCTGTCAGCTACCAAGTGAGTTTTTTTTAAGATAGACAATTACAATGCAAAACAGTAAACAGGAATATGAAGTGTACTACAACAGACATATCTGAAAATGTTAATGCTGCTTAATGTAATATTCCCTTTCTTATCAAACCCTGAAGACACAGGACTGTAAGAGTACATTCAATATGAAAAATCCTTTATCGATTTATTTATATAGGTCTTTGGATATTATTTTAAAGGTTGTGATCAATTTGAATGCCTAGTAATGCTCTACAGCCACTATTCTCACGTTCCTGTTTGAGAATGATCTTTTCATTCAGATAATTAAGGACTGCTTGCTAAGTCTTTGTTATCCATCATCAACACAGCATGGTATAAATTTGGTTCAGGTTATATAGCAATTAAACAAATAAACAATTAAAATATACTGGGTACTCTGCTGGCTTGGTTTTCTTTCACAGAAGAAGCTTAAAAACAGACTGTATTAGGTAAGCAGCATTTTTGTAGGTACACATGTATGAATGGGTTATTAAAGGTCTAGCATACAAATAGAGACCTCATATGTTTACTACAAAAGGTCTGGAAAGCCTGAAAAGATGCATCTGAGTTTCACAATTAAAGCCAATGCGTAAGTCAAATGTGCATGTCATTGCTAACCCATTTCCCTGAATTCTGCACACTTACCCATAGAAAATACGTTTGCAACTAGAAATATTGAGTTCAAAGGCTGAAGAGGTTCTCTCAGAAGGCAGTTTGCTAAATGAAAAACTACTTAAATTAACTCAAACCGAAATACTTATCTTTAACAGATTTTTTTTAAAAAAATCAACATACTGTTTATATTAGAAACACTGATTTATGGTGGAATCATAATTATCACAGTAACTAGATACTGACACTGCTACCACTACCACATTTAAATTTTTAAAAGTAGCAGGTACAATCTACACCAAGACTTTCAACTGCAAATGCTACTGAAAGAATGAGGTTTGTTCAAGATCTTCCCTGTGAATTTTTGCAAATTTCAATGGTTTGCAATGGAAACGTCTGTAATGTGTAGAGTCAAGCTGGCATACGTCGGCCATTTTAACAATGGTTTGAAAAATAAGCAGTGCATATTGATTCTTAAACTGACTACAAAATTACATTTCACAATATAAAACAAAGACTTTCCTACAGAAAAAAATCCCATCCTTTAAAGATTGCTATTGCTTGAATAACTTGGATCCTACTAGAGTATTGCTAGCGACTATCACATGCGATAATAAAATTAGTATAAATTACAGAGAGATCAATAGCAGCTTACAAAATAACACAGATCAGAGTCTGACTTTGTTGGGGAAGAAGATTGATCTTTACACAGCAGTATAATAATGAATTTTTAACCCAAATAGGAAAGCAACTCACAAAATCCGAAAAACCTGTGGAACAGTTACAAAAGCAATTATTGTTCATGAACTAACAGCAAAAATGAAATTACACACACTTCTGATACCAGCCTCTTCTTCCTACAAAGAAACTCCTCCTCTATAATGTAACCACCACAATGTTTTATCCATTCCTATTTAAAATACTTTTGGTTTAAAGTAGTACCTTTAGCATGACAGCACATCCTATGTATTGTTAAAGATTTAACTGACAGCCGGTTTATTCTGCCTCAGGAAAACTGAATATATAGACTTGCACTGCAAACTATGGAAGCCAAATTGTTAGGCAATACCACTGTATACATGTAAGGCTAGAAGTATAATTTTTGGATTGCATATCCATTTTCTTCCAAAGCCCTAATGTTTTAGGGCTAAATCCCAACATGGCCTTGGAAGAATTTTTAAAACTTTCTTCCCCTTCTCTAAGCCCTCCATATACCAGGAAAACCACCTCTGTAGGGTCATCTGGCCTGCCAAGGATAATTCTGAGGGTGCACAGAGGGCTGCATGGGGGGGGTGGAGACTCACCCCCTTCCAGTTCTGCTGAAACTCAGTGTTGTACCCGTGGAAGTCCTCTATGGGCTGGTGTTGTTCAGCCCTTCCTGGGCTCCTTAATTTAGCAGGCTATTTTCACAACTTTTATTGTTCTTGCTTTAATGCCAAAATATCATCTTAGAACACATCTGCCACAATTATTCAAAAGTCTTTACACATCCATCCATGTGTATATGGATGGGTGTGTAAAGACTTTTTTCTAAGCTACTTAAAACCACTAAAATAATGTGCTCCTGAACATAGAGAGCATTTTTTTCTCAAACAGAAATAAAAGACTGCTGGTGACTGGTCACAGTGAAAGCTAGATCGATTCTGAGGACATAACTCATATAGTTTCTTCTAAAAAATAAGGCCTCCATGGAGGCCAAACATAATATTTAATAAACTAAAAACAGTATTTTAAAAGATTACAGTTTTAGAGAAGAGACATTATTGTTCCTTAAGCAGGTGGGCAGTCAGTGAGTTGAGTTCACTTCGGCTATAGTTTGATGCTGTCCATATTCTTGGTCAAGACTTGTAAATAGACTTCATGAAGTGTACTAAGAAAATTTGCATCATTCTGAAGAGAGAAAGAGAAAAAAGAGCACAATCAGGCCTATGACAGAAATGCTATTGATATTTTTTCCTACTTGCAAAGGCTTTCTCTACAAATTTGAACTGAAGACCAGACATATTACTTGAGTGAAAAATCCAGCTCCTGAGAAACAGTGAGTTCAAGACTTTGTGAGAGGGAAGGAGAAACACCAGCAGATGATACATAGCAATATTATTTCATATAAATAATACCTACTAGTGGTGCACAGGACTTTCAAGCAGACATCTAGAATATAAGCAGTAGAATAGGCAGGAAGGCTTTCAAATTAAAAATTATTATTTGTTGAAAATCTGATTTATATCTTGCCTTTTCACAAAGTGGTCGGAGCTACTGTGTTTCCCCAAAAGTAAGACAGGGTCTCATATTAATTTTTGCTCCAAAAAAGCATTAGGGCTTATTTTCAGGGGATGTTTTATTTTTTCATGTACAACCATCTACATCTACATCAATCAATCAATCAATCAATCAATCAATCAATCAATTAGATTTCTATCCCACCCATCTAGACCAAGGGTCACTCTGGGCGGCTTACAAATTAAAAAACAATAAAACCAAAAACATCTAAGTCCAAGATGGTGAAGTATAATTAAGATATGGCAGTTAAGATATGGCAGGAGAGAAAGCCTGCCCAAATAGCCAGGTTTTAAATTTGTTCCTGAAAACACCCAGAGAGGGAGCCAGGCAGATCTCCACTGGCAAGTTGTTCCAAAGGCAAGGGGCCACTGCAGAAAAGGCCCTACTCCTTGTTCTTTCCTTCTGGATCTCCCCCGGCGTTAGGCCCCTCAGCCGGCCAGCCTGGCTGGAACAAGTGACTCTAGCAGAACTGGGTGGGAGAAGGCGCTCCGCCAGATTACTGAGGTCATAAACCATTTAGGGCTTTATAAGCAATCGTCGCCAGATTATTGAGGTCATAAACCGTTTAGGGCTTTATAAGCAATCGTAAGGACTTTTAAATCAATGCGGAAACAGATGGGAAGCTAATGCAAGGCGGCCAGCATAGGGGAAATATGTTGGTACCTTTTCACAATCGTAAGGACTTTTAAATCAATGCGAAAACAGATGGGAAGCTAATGCAAGGCGGCCAGCATAGGGGAAATATGTTGGTACCTTTTCACCCCTGTAAGAAGTCTGGCCAGGACATTTTGTACCATCTGAAGTTTCCGCGTCAGTCTCAAAGGCAGCCCCACATGGAGCACATTACAGTAGTCTTGAGACTACGAACGCATGGACAAACTTAATGAGCACCCCCACATCAAGATGCAGCTGGGCAATCTGCCGAAGGTGGAAATGTGCGGAATGGACACCTGGGTCTCCATGGTGAGCACCAAGCTGCGAACCTTACTGTTGGTGGTAAGAGTCACACCCCCCCCAAAGGAAAGGGAGTTTCCCAGACCACTGATGTCTGGGACCCCCCCCCGAAGGACCTCTGTCTTGCCCGGATTCAGCCTTAGTCCATTCCCCTCTGCATCCATTGCTGAACTGCCCCCAGGCAGTGCTCAAGGGACAAAATAGCATCCACTGTTGTTGGAAAAAAGGAGATGTAGAGCTGGGTATCATCAGCGTACTGATGAAACAAAGCCCCACATGCCCTGATGACCCCTCCCAGTGGCCTCATATAGATGTTAAACAGCACTGGAGAGATAATCAAGCCCTGCGGAACCCCACAATTGAGGCTCCAAGGGGCCGAGAAACTCTCTCCAATCTGCACTCTCTGGGGACAGTCCTCCAAGAAGGAATGGAGCCAGGCAAGAGCAAGGCACTGATTCCCAACTCGGAGAGCCTCCCCAGGAGAATACCATAGTTGACGGTATCAAAGGTGGCTGAGATATCGAGGAGGACCAGCCCGATGGCCTCCCACAAAAAGGGCAACCAATGCTGTTTCTGTGCCATGGCGTGGCCTGAAGCCCGACTGGAATGGATCCAGGGCATTGGTTTCATCCAGAGGAGTCTGCAGCTGATCAGCCACCATCCTCTCGACTACCTTGCTGAGGAAGGAAACATTGGCGACGGGCTTGTAATTACCAATATCATCCGTAGCCAAGCTCGGTTTCTTCCTAATGGGCCTAACGAGTGTCTCCTTGAGGAGAAACCCATTAATTATTGCCGTAGCCCATTCAGATGTTATAGCCCTGGCTGTTTGATTAGCCAGGCCGGGCAAGGGTCAAGGGAGGAGATGGTGGCACGACGGCGGTCAAGCACTCTGTCCACATGTCTGACATCACAGGCTGAAAGTGGTTAAGTCTCATTGGGCAAGATGGAGCACTGGACGCCTCAGCTCAATCCACTGTTTTCAAATAGGGGGTAAGATCCCAGCAGATGGCCTACACTTTTGATTTTAAAGAGGCTGCAAATTGGTCAGGTGAGATGCTAGTGGGAGGCCAGCCACTATGACCAACTCCGGATAGATCACAAACTATACGGAAAAGTTCCACCTGCTGATTGGAGGCTTCGCTTATCTGGACAACGAAGTAAGCTCGACTAGAAGACTTCACCTTACATTGGTAGAGGTTAGTCGCGATCCTGATAGCTATTTGATTATTTTCTGTTGGGTTCTGCCTCCATATCGCTCTAGCCTTCTCCTATTTAGCTTCGTTGACCACAGCTCTGGATTAAACCAGGGTGAAAGTTTAATTTATGCAAATACAGTCATGCCATCTTCTTCTGGTTGCTGCACAAGGTGGAGGGCGGGGTTTCACTTAATTGGGGCTTATTTTGGAGGTAGGCCTTATATTACGAGCATCCTGAAAAATCATACTAGGGCTTATTTTCAGGGTAGGTCTTATTTTTCAGGGAAACAGGGTGGTTTACTACATGTTAAAGCGATGCATATTGAATAGTCTCCCATGTCTTGCCAGTGAAAAAGTACAAGAACTGTTCCATTGGTATTTCCATGATAGAACTTTGAAAGAGGGGTATTCATATTCATATATCCCCTCACAGGTGCAGTCCTCCACACATGGTTTAGAGGTGGACAGAATGCGAATCTTGGCTGACACTTCTAGGACCTTCCCAGCTGAAGCAGCTCATCCAGAGGCTGTGGCCGTCCCTGAATGTTATCTGGCCCATCATGGATTTGGTGTAGAGAATTCCCTACCCTCTATTTCAGCTCCCTGCCTTTCTTGTAATTAATTTTGGGGGAACCAGTGCAATGGAGCAGGTATGGAATGGCTTGCTTGTACCAGAAGAGGCAAAGTGCTGCAGATAGCTTTTGTGAAGAATGAAAATGAGTTTTCCATAAGCAGCAGAAGCTGTGCTCAAGTGGGATGACAGGTAAACAACAAATTTCCATCGAAAAATGGGGGAGTATCAAGACAACTGAATCTATAGTATAAAGTATTCCGAGTGTATTAGCAGTATCAAATACAGGCAACATAGCGCATACTCTCTAGTACAGGGGTTCCCAACCCTCAGTTCGCGCCCTGGTACCTGGCTGTGGCTTTTGCAGGACTGGGCAGCGGAAACAGATCTCCCGCCCTTCTGCGCGCACGCCCACCCACCCCACATGCACACACGCATGTGCACCCTGCCCACTTGAACGCACACCCCACCCACACACACATCCTCATGCATGCACGGACGCATGCCCCTCAAAAAGGTTTGGGACCACTGCTCTAGTACATCTCTGCTGTCAATCATGGCGACGTACAACCAAGTACTGTAAAAAGGATTCATGCTCTGTGATGAGAAAGATGTGTTGTACACTGTTCTGTACAGTGCTTGCCTAGGTGATGTGAGCCACAACTAGATACTACTCCAATGTGGTGTCCAGAAAAGCCTGCATTCAAATCCCTGATCAATGTTTATCTTTCCTCATAAAGCCATAAAGGTTGACTCTGCTGGATGATCTGTATAAAAACATGCTCCATTTTTACACATGTAATCCAGTAGATTCAACCTTCATGGCTCTGTTCCATTTTTATATTTTAGCAGTTAACCTTCTGGGCAGCAATGTGAACAAAATTTCAGCTTTCTAGTCAATGCACAAGCAGCTCAATCTCTGGCAAAAGCCATATCCTGCATCTGAGGAAGAAAAGTAAACGTGCCTCTTTCAGATCTTTCTACTTACAAAGATGTCTGGATGGACCTGCATAGGATGCTCAGTCTATCCCCTTTTCAGGGAACAGATACATTTTACTCTGGCAGATTCAGTGGCAGATGGGCCATCTGTCAATAACCAAAACAGCCACTAGATGGCACTGAAAACAGATTGGCATCAGCTGCATTAGCAAAAGAGAGGGACCACGCAGCCAGGAGCATAAGCAAGTCATCCATACCAAGTGCCTCCTCCTCTCCTCTAGCCCCTACCTTCAGCAACATCTAGCTCCTATTGAAGTCAAACAAAAAAGCAGGTATAGCAAAAAGGAATTTTGTTTCTAGCAGCCACAATGTTAGTAGCACATTTCCACTTCTTCAGAACTGATAGAAAACATTTACAAAGGTACTGTATATTATACAAATAAAGCTGTAAAATATTACAACAAATGCTTTATCTCAAAATATTAATGGATCCCACCATCCTTGTAGTTCAATTAAGGCTGTTTAATATAAGCATCAATTTAAATGTGCTGTCTGTCCTTAGGTTAAATTCTGTTGTGACACATGGAGCGTTACTCTCAAAATTCTTTTGGAGCTGCTAGGACAGTTCCAATACGGGTAAACAACACTAATTAGGGAACTAGTTCTATTAAACTACAATGTGAATTGGCTGTGATAGTTATCTCCTTTCCATGGGTACACATATAAAATGTGTCGTGCATTTCTTGTGTACAGATCCTCCTGAAGTCAAGGAGAGAAGAGAAGGTAAAGAGAAAGAAGGTGACAGAAGCAGAACACACTGATGGAACTAGCAAGTGTTATAGGGAAGAAGTATGTTACACTCTCCTCCCAAAAAGCCACTGAAGAAGTGAAACACATACAGTATATGGCTACTACATCAGTGAAAGAAAAGCAAAAAGCACAGCAGAAAAAGAAACAGAATTAGATTAGCTCAGATACCACAGTCCTACAACGCTGCCTTTCTCGCAGCAGCAATGAACCCATTTACCTTGAATAATTAAGAAAACAGGTAATAATGAAACAGAAATCCAGTGTATTGGAACAACGATACACACAACGTAGGCTAAGCTTTCTGAGGCTTGGCATATACATGAACTAGAGGACAGAATAAAGAACACAGTATCATGATTGAAAACATCACAAAATGGATTCTCAAGACTATTGGTAGGAACCTGAGAGTCCAACATGACTTTAATTACACAGTAAAAGTGCTGACAGCCCAGCTTTTGTTCACAGGGCTTTCCCCACACCCACCCCTTCACAGTCAGCAAATTTCTTTGTTTCACTTGTAGTTCTGGCAGAGAAAAAGAAACAGCAGGTTGTGCAGAAAAAAAACCTTGACAAAGAAACAAAACATGGGCTACAAAGCTGATTCTGTGACCTAGTATGGGTCCATTTCAGCCCTAACAATTCTATTACCAAAGTAGATTATTTCTATGGCGTGTTGTTTTTAGAGCTCTATTTTGTATGTGAGCAAGACTTACTGATACCACTGTAGAAAGAACTAGAGTGTACTGATGTAGCACAAAGGTCTGTGACCCTCATGGTGACACAGAAGACAAAACAATCCTTTTAACACCAGTTTGTTCTTGGTATAAGAAGAGCGTTCACCATTTATTGGCACATGTACAAAATGACTTTGCAGGTGAAGATGTTTCTATAAAACTGGAAAGCATCCTTGAAACTATTTAAAGGAGCCAAGCTGCCTTTCATTTACAAAAAGGAATGATAAACAAACTTGATCTATGTGCCATGTGAAGCATTATATACCAGAATAAACTGGGAGCGAACAAGACACTTGTAACATCTACTGATCAGAACCCCGAAACTATAAGGTGGATTTTTAAAAATGAATGTTGCTACAGGACACACACATACACAAAATCTGTTATACCTTTATTAGATGTATTAAAGTTTCTTGAAGCTGTGATCTACTGAGAACTGTAGGAGGTAATGCTTGAACATCTGCTGCTCCAAGGGTAGGAGGAGAAGAGGAGCTGACTTTGCTTTCAGTTTCAGAGGATTTTGTAGCTGACTGTTGAAACACACTTGGTGACAACAGGACAGATGGTACCACTGTGGTTGTAGTTGCAGCAAACTGTGAAGAAGCAACCTGCACAGGAAAGGGATTGAATTTTGACTGTGAACATTTAACTGTTCTTTAAAGAATTGTGTACATATATCAGAGACTATTTAGACATTACTTCAGCAGTATGGAAGAATCCACAGTACAGTATTCTTCCTTTTTGGATAATATTAGAAGCCCCTGCTCACATGGAAGGAATATAAGATGTAGGTGCTTCTCTTTTTATTTTTGTTGGAAGTGAAGAAGAAATACTGTGTATTTCTATGCATACTGGCATAGAATACAGTTGCTTTGCTGGCTCCATTCATGGATGCTTCCAGTACCAGCAGGGCAGGAAGAATTTGTGCTACAAGGAGTTCTAAACAGATTGGAACAATTGTTTAGTTGACTAGAATCAATGGCTCACAGAAGTTATAAATTCTTAAGAGTAACCACTGTGGTCAAAAGGATTAAAGACAACATATCTACTAGTCAAATAATTAAGAAGTCCAAACGATCCAAAGTTCCACTGGAATTTATAACAAATCAAACTGTATTCCAACTGCTGATGTGTTCTCGGCTTCTTTATAAACTGGATAGGAACTTATTCTTACGATAGAATGAAAGACTCTAATATGTACTCCAAGAAGACTGAGAAACTTTAAGAAATTAATTTTTGGCAATAGCCTACTGCTGTGTTCTTTTATCAGCTGAAGAGCAAATGAGTGTAAAGAGTCCAGAATAAACATATTGACAAAATATTAGCATTTTACTAGGACAACTTCTCAGAGAGGCTGATTTCTTCTTTACAAATTCTTTATGAGGTCATCTGTAGAAGAGGTGCTAGAGGTGCCCCATTCTCTTCAGGTCTGCTCTACACTTACTGAAAGGAAGGCATTTAGCATGGGAGTGCCCACTACTTGAAATATTCTTCTTCCTCACATTAAGTAGGCTCCAGAAAACCTGATATTTACCGTATTTTTCACTCCATAAAACGCACCTCTCCATAAGACGCACCAAATTTTTAGGAGTAGAAAACAGGAAAAAATAATCTGTTTTCTTTGCTCCATAAGACGCACAGACTTTCCACCTCCCTGTTTTGTGGGAAAAAGTGTGTCTTATAGTGCGAAAAATACGATAGATGGCACACTGAACACATGTCTATTTTTTCAACTTTTCCTGGTTTGGCATATAATCAATGTTGATCTTCAGAATTACATAGATATTGTATATATATTGTTTTACTGTATATTGTGTGACTGGTATGTTCTACTTTAAAAACCTTAGAGGTTGGTTTATAAATAAATAAATACAGCAATTAACAACCAGAGTACAGGTTGCTGTCCTCTGAAGATGCCGGCCACAGAGACTGGCGAAACGTCAGGAAGAACAACCTTCAGAACACAACCAAAGAGCCCAAAAAACCCAGAACAACCAACCTAAAATGTTCCTTGCATAACTGTGTTGTAAACTGCCAGGAGAGTGCTCTAGCCCTATGGGGCATTATAGAACTCTAAACAGTAAATTAATTAATTAATTAATTAAATTTAGCATTGACTGTGGATAGAATTAGAATATCATGAAGAGTCGGACATGACTAAACGACTAAACAACAACAAAAATATTTAGAATGGATTTATCTAAATTGGCTTAAAAATTCTGAAGGCAATTTGCAGTACATATGATCTAGAGAACATAAAGAACTGTGGCTTAAATTTGTGACTAATGTTAGTCACAATCAGAGTAGGTCCCATGGAAATGAATGAAATTTATTAGTCAGATGAAATGCAAGTTCCACTAATTTCAGCAAGGCTGCTCTAATTGGACTAACAATGATTATACTTCTCTGAGTTTCACTAGGAACTTCTGTGAATGCAATGCAATGATTAGAAGATTTAAATACGTACTTGGCTTGCTTTTGTCAAAGTTTTGGGGTGTGGAAATGTTTCAAGCTCCTTGGTTTGCTGGGTAACCTACAATATAAAAAGACAAATAACACAACCCATAAACAAGTGTTCTTCCATACACATAATATAAAGTCCTACCAGACTTACAGGAATTCTGATGTTATGTAAGTTTATTCATATGGCAACCTAATAAAAGTCTTTCAGTAGAGTATCAAAGATTGCTTCTGCTTGCTAATACTGTAGTTTCTTTTCCTAAACTTTTGGTTTAAAATTTAGTGTTGTTCTTCTCATTTTTCAGTTTTATGGTACTGCAAAACCTACTCTTGCTCCTGGATGCACATCTTAATGGGGTGAGGGGATTGTCAGCAAAGCTGAGAACAGTACTATCAGAAGTTATATTCTATTACATGTCTAACCTTTTAGCAGGATTACCCAAGGTGGAATGGATTAAGATACATTCATCCTCTTCAAAAGTTACCTCAGAATGCAACAGTCTGTGAACTGTTAGTTTGAATGGGGATGGAGGAGAGAAATTTTTAAAGGCAGTTACTGATAGGAGACAAGGATAGTGGCAGGATATTTCACAGGGAATAGCAGGAATACTCACACTAACTCCTGTTACTGCTGCAAAGAAAAAGACAATGGTAAACCACCTCCAAATACCTTGAAAACCTTATGAAGAGACAATATATAATGAATCAAGAAATAATGCTGGAAGCTGAAACTTCCAGGTGGGAAGGAACTCATTCAGCCAAATACATGTACGTATAGTGCTATCACTAATGAAGAGTCTAAAGTAGAGCTGATGTGTATAGAGACAAAAGGAAGGTACAGTGCTATGAGACATACATAACTAGAACATGGAATGTAAGAAGCGTGAATCGTGGTAGGCTCAAAATTGTAAAACAAGAAAGGGAACATTTAAACATAGTGATACTTGGTAAGAGTTAGTTAAATTGAACTGAAACATGACCTAGAATGGTCGAAATGACCAGCCAGGCGGGGTATAAATAGAATAAATAAATAAATAATTCAAAAGTGTTTTACACTGAAAATGACAAAGTCAAAAGAAATGAAGATGTAGCGCACAAGCAGTTAGAGCTATCATAGAAAATATGATGGAATTGTATCAACCGGACGTCAGAGAACATGTATAAATACTGCCATCATACACACAAACAAATGTGCAGATAATCATGAGTGACTAGGGTGTAGAGCAAGAAATAAAGCAGAAGAACAATTCATTGAATTCCACCCACAATTTGTTTATTGCAATTACATGCTTGTAGAAACAAATGATTCTACTTGTGGGTATCACTAGATGGCCAATATAGCAATCAAACAAAAGACAGAAGCAGAAGATAGAGAAACCCAATCCTCTCTGCAAAAGCAAGAACAGGGCTGGCTGTACTACAGGCCATGAACTTTTAATATAAAAACACAGAGTAAATCTGAAGCATAAAAACAACCAATGTTCCAAACATAATTCCTGAAGAATCCAAATATAATATAAAAAACTGATTTGCATGACTAAACTCATTTAGCCACGAATCATAACTTAAATCAGAGTTATTACTTGGGAAGATTCCCAGAAGTTGGAATAGCTATCAAAAGAAAATAGTAGTCCCAATGAATTACTTGAGAAACTCTTTAAATGGTTGTTGACAATCAAAAAAAGAAAAATAAGAGATAACAGAAATAGAAATAGAGTCAGCATCCTAAAGGCAATTGTTAAGCAACCTGCACAAAGAGATAAAGAGAACAAGTATAATAATCTTTGCAAAGAAATACAGGCAAACAGAAACAAGAAAAACCCAGAGATCTCTTTCAAGGATCCAAGAAATGTCAACCTGGATTAGGGATACAGAATGGTCAGTATGAAAATATTATCTGGCCGTGGTAAAATAAAGATAAAATTGAAACTATGTAATGACCTAAAGCCTGTTACTTTGCATAGTAAATCACATTAGATGAGCCCACTGAATCAATGGAGATTTGGTGATTAAACATCTCCATAAGTTTCATTGATTCAAATAGGCCCACTATAACTATGATTTACTATGCTAAAGTAATCCTAAAAAGAATATGACAGGAAATATGGGAAATCAAATAAGGGCCATAGACTGGAAATGTTGGATACATATTCCACCCCAAAGAGAGTATATATTTACCATATATGGACTAAGAAATGCCAGACATTTAACCTAGACTGAGAAAGGCACTATATATCATAATTCAAAATACACTGGCTACTGGAGCAGATCAAAGAATGCCAAATGAACACCAGTTTGTGTTTTAAAAGTCACAACAATGCCTTTCACTATATAGATGAAGAACTATGAATTGTTCTAAAATAAATGGCTGGTTTACATCATCTGACTGTCCTGATGCATGACCTATATTCTGGAAAAGAGGCTCTTGTTAGGACAGAATATGGAAAAACAGAATGGTTTCCAATTGGCAAAGATCTCAGGTAAGTGAATATTTTATCTTCCTATCTGTTCAGTCTGTACATGTAGCAGATCATAGAGAAAGCTGGATTATTTAGAGAAAGGAAGAGTAAAATCTGGGGGAAGGAACATGAGTAATTTAAGGCAGTGGTCCCCAACCTTGGGCCTCCAGATGTTCTTGGACTACAACTTCCAGAAGCCTTCACCACCACTTCTGCTAGCCAGGATTTCTGGGAGTTGAAGTCCAAGAACATCTGGAGGCCCAAGGTTGGGGACCACTGATTTAAGGTATGCATAAGACCAACTGAGGAAGGCTGAAAAAGAAAAGTGCACAACATTATAGCTGAATCTAAGAAGACAAAAACCATGGCTGAAGAAGAATTATAGAAGAAACTGAGACTACTGGGAATTTTCTATAACTTGGTTTAATCATAAATCAAAATGGAAGCTGCAGCCAAGAAATCAGAGGATGACTGAGTCTTAGAAGGACATCTGTGAAGTTAACTAGGAAAAAGGTCCTTAGCTATAAGAAGGCATTGCTGGAAGTGAAAGCCATGAATATCCAAACTACTATATTCCCAATTACTTTACATGGAAGTGAAATCAGATAATGAAGAAAGCTGACAGGAAAACAACAGGTTACCCAGCTGTAATTGTAGTTCTTCGAGTGGACCTCTGTGATTCACACCCTGGGTGATTCACGCCTGCGCGGCGCCTCATCGGAAGATTCTAGAGCTTCTGTGGTAGCAATGAACATATTAGAATATGCCCCTCCCCAACCATATAAGTACCTTGGCACCAAGCATCCCCTTTCAGTTCTGTCAACCACCACTTAATAGTAAGCAAACAATGGTGTGACAGAGGAGAGGACGGGTGGGATGTGTGGATCACAGAGGTCCACTCGAAGAACTACAATTACAGCTGGGTAACCTGTCGTTTTTAGTGGCCTCTGTGAATCATACCCTGGATGAGATGGAGAGGCCCTTGGATTTGAGATGTAGGAGGAAGCGGAGAACAGTGGAAAGTGGAGTGGATTGATGGAGGATGATGAAGATTTGGTAAAGGATTGAAATTTTTTCTATTTGTACAGGTAGGCTTTCCTTGTGGAAGGTTTTTTGGCATGATGAAGAGTGTTCATTAATGAGAGAGAATCCTCCATGCTGCCAGGTGCAGAACAGGTAAGTCCGGGTGTAGGATTTGGGAGTTGTTCTGTGTGAGAAGGTGTGGCAGGCGGGGGAGATGGTGGATGTCTGAAGAGAGACTGCAGAGAACTGGGAATCAAGTCTGTCTCAGCCACCAAGGGGCTATAATGATGGCATTGCTTCTATCTTGTTGTAGATGGACAACAACTTTGTGGAGGAGAGGGAACAGCGGAAAAAGGCAGGTAAGAGTCTTGGGCCAACGACCGACAAAGGAGTCTCCCTGGAATGTTTTCCTATTCCTGCTCGGGAGCAATACAGTTCACATTTCCGATTCGCTCGGGAGGCAAAGAGATCAAGAGTCATGTTTTTGTTGTGTTTTTATCATGTATGTAAGCCATCCCGAGTAGACTTTGTCTAAAAATCTAATAAAAGTAAAAAAGTAAGTGTGTGTGCCTCATTTCCAGCATAGTTGGCAAAATAATGATTGATCTAGTTCCCACCCGTGAGCTTGAGCATCTGTACGGCTGAGAGGAATAACGATTGATCTAGTTCCCACTCGTGAGCTTGAGCATCTGTACGGCTGAGAGAGTCTGCTAGGTTGTTGCCTTGACCAGTGATGTGTAAGGCTGTGAGTCAGACGTGATGTTGCAGACAACCCCCCCCCCGAGGTCGACTGCTAGGTAGAGGAGACCTGGGGAGTTGGTGCCGCCTTGTTTTAGGATATAGTGTATCGCCGTTGTGTTGTTGGTGGCGATATATCATTTTTCCTACAAGAAGGTTTCTGAAAGCCTTGCTGGCCTTTATGACAGCTAGTAGCTCCAACTCGTTTATGTGGAGCAGTTTTTCTCTGTGAGACCATTTGGTGTGGACTGTGAGGGATTTGGAATGAGCCCCCCAGCCAGTGCGACTGGCGTCGGTACTGACTTGTATTCGTGGGTGAGGTTGTTGGACCAGTCGTCCGATAGAAAAGTTGGTATGGGAATGCCACCATTGAAGTTGAGAGGCCAATTCTGGAGTGACTCTTAGGAGAGTGTGGGGAGAGTCTGTTAGTGGATCGAATAGGGACAGAAACCAGAATTGGAGAGATCTCATTTTGAGACACACATGTTGTACAACTGATGTCAAAGAGGCCATGGTGCCTAGAACTCGTTGCACCGTTAAAGCAGGTATCAAGGCATGTGGAGTGAAGCTAAGAAGTAAGGTGAAGATATTTTGTCTCTTTTTTGCAGGGAGGAACATACTCATGTGGAGTCTATGAACGCGCCTATGTAATGTATAGTCCTTGTAGGTTTTAATGTTGGTTTATGTTTGTTGATAGTTAGACCAAGATTGCAAAGAAGGGCGAGGGTGAAACGGGTGTCTCGTCGATCTTTGCGACGGGAGTGTGCTACAAGGAGCCTCTTCGCAACGGGAGTGTGCTACAAGGAGCCAGTCGTTGATATATGGAAATACGAGAATGTTTTGGAATCTGAGGGAGGCGGCTACTAGCACCATGCACTTGGTGAACACTCTCGAAGCTGCTGCAAGGCCAAATGGGAGTCTTTTGAATTGGTACGCTTGTGATCCAAGTTGGAAACGAAGGAATTTTCTGTGTGTGTGATGTACTGCAATATGAAAGTATCTCTTAAGTCTATGACTGTGAATCAGTCATTTTTTTGAAGAAAGGGAAGAACGGATTCTAGAGTAACGATGCGGAATTTTGTGGTGGCGATGTAGTTGTTTAATAATCTTAAATCTATAATAGGGGGTCTCTTGGGGTTGGTAACAGTGAGAGAAAAACCCAATGTTGTTTTGATAGACAGGTTGTCACGCCTCGTGGCACAGTGGTTAAACTGCTGTACTGCAGTGAATACTGTGCTCACGACCTGGGCTTCAATCCTACGTAGCTGGCTCAAGGTTGACTCAGCCTTCTATCCTTCCGAGGTCAGTAAAATGAGCTCGCTAGGGAGGCAATGTTTAGCCTGCATAATTAACTTGTAAACCGCCCAGAGAGTGCTTGAAGCACTATGGGGCGGTATACAAGCAGCACGCTTTGCTTTGCTTTGCGAAGTAAATTTGTTATTTCTTCTTGCAGGGGGTTGTGACGGAGGAGTAACAATGTGTGTTGATGGAGGAAGTTCGAAGAAGTAGACGTGGTAGCCGTTTTTGATGATGGAGAGTACCCAGGAATCTGCGGTGATGGATTCCCATGCAGGTGTTTCCAGAGGCCAGGGTTGGTGTGGTGAGTGGTGATCTCGGTCAGAGGAATGGTGTTTGGGTTTCTGGTCATTCCGCCTAGTGGCAGGCTGTTGCCGGCTTTTGGCTCTTTGGTTTTTGAAGTATGGATTGTAAGAGGTTTGTTATGGAGAGTCTCATTGGAACCTCTGGTATGAGTTATAGAGTCGTTTCCATTGATTTTGCTGAGGACTTTGCTAGTAGGAAGGGTAAACTCCCCAACGTCTGGCTGCTGAACATTTCTTTTGGATGTTCTCTAGTATATCGTTAGTTT